CCAATTTTGCATTTTGAAATGCTCCCGATTTCTGAGGTCTAAAGGTTGGCAAGTATGATTACAACAGAAACAAAAAAAAAGTTTTCATGAACGATAAACAGCTGCATTTTTGAAAACCGATAAAGGTAATTGAATCACATATTCTGAAAATCTTTCTTGAAAAACTGATATAAAGTATGCTGTAGATGAAGTCCTCCAACCAGTTTCTAAGTTGCGCTGTCTCTATTTTATATGGTGTGGATATGATGTCTCACTCGGACAAAAAATAACTAAAATCAAAATATTTTGTCTTTCTTTGTTTCAGAGGAGTGTTGCATCTCGCCAATGACAGTTATGGCATCGAGCCATTAGACTCCGCCCCTGACCAGCACCTGATGTACCGCCTGCAGGATGTGACATCACAGCCTCGGGGGTGTGGCACGCCACACTACGATGGGCATGAGCATGACAGCAACACCACGGAGCATGCTCAGTACAAACCAGAGGAAATCCACCACAAACACCACAGCAGGGTGGGTCCACTCATGCAAACACACACACACACACACACACACACACACACACACACACACACACACACACACACACTCAAATACACTAATGAAACAATAAAAAATGAATGTGTGCATGTAAAGTAACTTGTTGTTTATGTTGCAGATGAAGCGAGCTATTCTCCATCAGACTTACTACGTGGAGCTGCTGCTGGTGGTTGATAATGAAAGGGTAACACACACACACACACACACACACACACACACACACACACACACACACACACACACACACACACACACACACACACACACACACACACACACCCGTTATTATAATATGTTGATGACTCAGACACCAGCTCAGTGGAGAAGCTTTATTGCTGCAGAGGAAATCATTGAATAATATCACCAGTGCAGGTTCTTTGCTGTGTGACAGCAACAGGAAATAACTGGAAATGTCAAGATGAGTGTTGCTTCAGAACGCAGCCTGCAGACACATTTCCATTTCAAAATGAAAGAACATTCATCCACTTTTTATGTGACAGGTTGTTGAAGGTTGTGGGGCTGAGTAGCTCCACAGATAGAGAGTAACAACAGAGCACTCTGCTGAAGACGGGATGATCACTTCACAGTGAGAATAATTTTTGGGAAATATGGGGTGTTATTGGAACACAAGCTGATTCTGAACTGAAATGTTTGTGCGTTTGTGTGTTCACACTCACATTTCATTTCAGAATCAGCTTGTGTTCCAATAACGCCTCATATTTCCCAAAAATTATTCTGAAACATACCTGGACATGAAAGTACCAATGGGGACACTTAACCTGTATTAGAACAATTGTGAAATTATTATTGGACTTAAGTTAATGCACTTTTTTAAATAGTCCACTGTATAGGTCATAATTGTAATCCTGTGCTGTCTATATCCAATGGTCTCAACACATGCCATGGCCAATCAGATTTCAGACTGCTCAACACTCAAAGCAAGGAGAGCAAGACAACCAGAAATGGCAGCAGGACTGCTCCAGGAAACATGTGTTCTAATTATTGAACAGTTTGACTTATTTGATCACACTCATATTATTTAGGTTGCTTTTGTTATCTCCAATGTCCAATTTTCAACTCAAAGTGTATTGGTCTGTAAAATAAAATGTGCATGTTTCCTATTAAAAAAAAAAAAGAAGCTGTCCAATCAAAATGATCTAACATCCTCTCGAACTGAGCGGACCGCGAGTACAATGTATGGCCACTTTCTAGTTAAATCTTCATTTTCGGACCCTGAATTGTCAGAAATGGACCCAGCCCCCGTACCAACCCCAAAACCACTCTAAAACAGTCAAGCCATTTTGTATTATTGTCCGAGTGGCTATAATGCAATTTATTCCTAATTAACGTGCAAATTGCCCATCAGGTTAGCAACCAGCAGTTTCTATGTTCTGGGGACCCCTACTATACATTTCTAATATAACACTTTGGGGTACTCAACATTTCCAGGTCCACAGTGCTAGCAGATAGACCAGGGGTCACCAACCTTTTTTAGGATGAGAGATACTTTAACCTAAGACCCAAGCTGTTTTTTTATATGCATTTTTTATTTCTCTTTGCTATTTGGGCTTATTGGAACCTGATAAGTATAAAAACTAAGTATCATCTTTTGACATGATGTACTTTTAGAGAAAGAGGATGTCCACATATGTGGACACTCGTTCTGAATTTCCATAAAACACATTAAAGTCACCTTTTTGTAATAGAGTGAAAAACTCTTTTATTTCCACCTTGAACACAGCAGTTTTTTCCTGGCTGCTTTTGCATGTATTAATAACTTATACACAGATAATGTTGCATGTTTTGCAACACATTTTGAACATCTGAGAGTAAAAACAACATGAAAACACTGCATTTTTGCTCCTTTTGGACTGTCAAAGCTACAGTACAGCTCATTTAAAATGCTACAAAAAATAGCTGGAAGACATCATATGCATGTAACAAAATATAAAACATTCAAAGCATTTTGCATTGTCACTGTTGCATCTAATAATACCACATGGGCTACTATTGTATGGGTTTTGAACATCATTGGTAAAAAAATAAAAAATAAATGAAAAAAACAAAACATTTTTGCCCTCTTTGGACAGTCACAGTTACAATATGGCTTATGTGAAATTTTGCATTGGTCATGTAAAAAAAAAATAGGAATGCCCTTTTCTTTAGGAACATGTACATACCCATGTGTGAAAGGCTGTGTAACAGTTGCGATCGCCTTGCTAGCACAAGAACACTTTGCAGGTCACACAACGCACTCTGGTTCTTCCAGTGCAGCCTGCTACCCTGCAGCGCGCCGCGTTCTTCAGGCTGATCATCTCTGGGAGATGGGCATTCGCCCTCCTGCGGACCGAGACATGGGGCACTGCCGTCACAGGGCGTTTATTCCCTTGATTTGAGTTGTCTTCTTCCTCTGACTGTTCAGAGAGGTCTGCATCGCTTCCTTGACCGTGATGCTGGGCCAAGAGGGTCGCCAAAGAGGAGTCGTAGCAATCCTTCGTAGGCAAACCATCTGTGTGGAGCTCTCCATGCGTGATCTCTTACATTTAAGTTATTCTGGGAAAGCCTTTCTTACAGACTGAGCAGCTGTGTGGTTTCTCTCCTGTGTGGATCATCATGTGGTTCTTTAATGTTCCTCCTCTGCTGACACAGCGTTCTCCTTAAACTCGAGCAGCCTAAGGCGTTTCTCTCCTGCCTCGTGGACCATTCTCACTGTGTCCGCTGAAGAGATCGCTTTCTTTCTCTACATGACCTACCTAAGATATTTGAACACACAGAGCACAATGTTTCTTTAACAGCAACTACGGCTTGATCAACTGACAGGATTTCTTAGTCTATTTTCTCAGTGAGGTTGACGTCCTGACAGAAACGCAGGTTCTCTGGTCCTCACTTCAACAGCACTGTCTTCAGTGTCAGAGTTCAGAAGTCTCCAGTGTTGTCCTCAGTCTTTGGTTGTAAAAGCATGCTCATGGACTGAGTTCCCTGGCTGGTTCTGGTCCTCACATCGACAGTCACTCTCTCATCAGACAATTTCTGTTATCCATGAGAATGTTTCAGTTACTGTTTATGATAAAAAGAGAGCTGATGAGGAATGAAGAATACATCTATATATCATCTCAATCTTAGACAGGGTCAGCGAGATGAAAAAGTGGACCTAATAGATGAGAAATACAGCCTCCTCACAGACATCATCGAAAGCTGCTCTTCTCACTGACATGATCTGAGTTCGCGCTCCTGTTCTTGCTTAACTGTGTCGGGAGGGCGACTCTGGGTCCTCCTGGTCAGACTGGTGATGNGAGTGTTTTTCAAGGCTCAGGAAACCCTTGCAGGTGTTTCGAGTTAATTAGACGATTCAAGTGATTCGTTGAACACCCTACTAGTATACTTTTTCATGATATTCTAATATTTAGAGATAGGATATTTGAGTTTTCTTAAGCTGTATGCCATAATCAGCAATATTAAAATAATAAAAGGCTTGCAATATTTCAGTTGATTTGTAATGAATCCAGAATGTATGACATTTTAGTTTTTTTAATTGCATTACAGAAAATAAAGAACTTTATCACAATATTCTAATTTTCTGAGACAGTCCTGTACACGTGACTGCTTTGATATTGAATTAAATGAAAACACCTCTATTAAATAATCCTGTGTTCTGTGACATACTTTACCCTCAGTGATGTGTTAAAGCTGAACTACTTCCAAACAATCTTGTCACCAGGAATCTGTTTCAACTGAAAGTATTTGCAACAACAAACAAATGTAATTCCTTCTCCATGACACCAACAGAAACAATAATACGTTTGTCCAGAGGGTGGCGCCAGAGGATAGGCTGAGTTACTACAAAGATCAAATGGTTTATCATGTGTAGGAGCTATATACACCAAATTTCACTGTAGTCAATTTGCAAACATTTCAGAAATTAAATGATTATCAATCTTGTAGTTCACAATAAAAATGAATGCATCTACAAACAAAACATTTAAAAAACGTATTTAAAATGTGATGTCAACTTGTGAGTGTGGTACCCCTGGTGCCACTGCTGATTTATTAACTATTACTTCCATTGACAGTCGATTCAAAATTATGTGCTGGTTATAGCAAGGGATTATATTCTTGACATTTTGTTTTAATCTTCCCTCAAGATAAAACCAGTATAAGTAAATAATGAAATAAAGACAATGATCATTTTTAAAGAGCATACATTTATTTTTTCAAAGGTAACTCCTGTAAAAGGTAATTATACAAACATCTAAAATGAAGAATGAATGCAAATCAAGGATCTGGCTCTTTCCAGAGAAACTTAAGAAACAATACCTGGTTTGATCAAAACAGCTGCTGCTGAATGGCACTTTATTACCGTCTTTAATACTATTAATAGTAGGTAAAAATGTACAAAAGTCTTAAAGAAATAAAAACAGAATAGAGCATGAGAAACAGACTTACATTTCAACACTGCCAGACTGAAAGGTTGTGCCACAAGCAAACTGACCCCCTATTCCATAATTCTTAAAACATGGCAAATGAAAATCAACACAAAATCCTGGTTCCCTAGTTAGGGATTACTTTTTTAAATCCATCCATCCTGAGTGGGGGCATGGACCAAATTCCAAGCCAATCTATTCAATAATTGTCAAAATGTGTCACTAAAAACAAAAATTGTCAACCTTATAGTGACAGAGGAAGGGGATCTACCCATCCTCTGGGCCCAGGAGTTCAAAACTTTTAATCCCTATCTGATCAGATCAGATTTGGATTTTGGGGAGTTCAAAACCAAAAAACAGGATTAGGATCACTTTCATATCCGATCAGATCAGGAAATCCAATCCAAGCTTTAATCTGGATCAAATCTTCAAAATGGGTAGTTCAAACCGACAACACAGGATTGGGATCAGTTTGATCCCAAAAAACTGGATTATCCTTATCCCACCAAAGGGGTGGATTACCAGAGCAAAATGTACTTTACAATTTATTTTAAAATATGTTTCAATTTAAATAAGATGGCAAAGTTTGTTAACTGAAATAATACACAATTTTTAGCCTTCATGGGAAATACATTTTATTTTTTCCATTTTTGCTCACATTTGTGGTGGCCTATTTTGTTTTCAACCAAATGTTGATGACATAAATGTTTATGCTCATAAAAGTATCACAGCAAAGATTGTCAATCACAAATGTAATTTAGATTAAAGTAAAAATATCTTCAACAAAAAAAAAGTGCATCATCTGTCATCACCTTTCAAATAAAAAAATATAATTAAACATTATAGATGTCTCTGCAATGTGGTCTCTTGTCTTCCTTGCATTATTTTTCATGTCCACTAGATGGCGATCGGTAGGATTAAAGCACTGATATTCAGGATCTAGTCATCTTGAAAAATCGTAATCTGGATCAGGCTGATCCTATCCTGAAATGCTTTGAACTCCAGGGACAAACTCTGGCCGACTTGTCTGATCCTGGATCACAAAAAATGGGATTTCAAAATCGGATCGGATCTGATTGAGATTAAAAGTTTTGAACTCCTGGGCCCTGGGGTTCAGCACTGTCCATCAAATAGTTGAGCCAAACTGTTGGCAGGCTAAACAATTATTTATATTGAACCTGCACATGTACATTGGAGTTGTAACTAGGTGCATCCAGAGAAAAAAAATACCAACTTCTTTGATTATTGATGTATCCTTTAAGTAATTATCCATGGAAAAAATGCCCGAAAATGCATTTTTTAGATCTTGGCTTTTCTCTGTTAAATATTATATTAAAATCAACATCTTTGGGTTTGAACTCAACAAAACATTGAATCACTTGGACTTTGAGAAACGGAATTGTTCCTTTTTTATTATTTTTGGACAATTTATTGAACAAACAGTTTATCGTAAAAGTAATCTGCAGATTAATAATTAAAATAATAATTAGTTGCAGCCCTAATATAAACACTTAAATACTGTGTTCAAGTGTGTACACTACACTTTCTTTCCCCAAACCATCTCCATCTTCGCCACATGGGCCTTGGATGATTTGGAGAAGGTGCTTTTAACCACGTTGAGAGGAGCAGATTTACCGCTGAGGTAGACCTTATTGAGACACGAAGGAACCCAGGACTCCTCTTCCTCCTTCTTCTCTACAGCTTCCACTCCTTTCTTCTTGTTCAGGGTACATGAATGGGCAAAAATGTATCCCGTCATAAAGGCGTCGAACCCGGCACGGTGCGATCCTGAGTCAGTGTTCTTCTTCTGCTCAGTCTTGGACGATTTCTCGCTTAATTTTTCACTTCCTCCATCTTTTGTTCTGCTTTCTTCACCAGCATTTGTGTTGGTTTTTGCGTTGTCATCAGTAGTGGGTGTTATTTCAAGTGTGTTGTCTTGGCTCACTCCGTTCCCCTCGATGTCTGTTTTCTCTTGTTTATTCTGTTGGGTGTCCATTAGAGACCCTTTTTCTGAGGAAGACTCGGCCCCTTGCTTCTCATCTGGCGCTTCTTGCAGATCCACCTCCATGTGGGGGATTTTGTGTTGAGGGGCACCGTCTTCCGCTGCCTCGCCTTTACCTTTCCTCTTTTCTTTACGTCTCTTCCTCTTAGTGCTCTTCTTCCCCAGGTCTTTCTCGTCCTGGAGGATGATCAGGTCAGTGTCGTGGGATAATAGACACTCGCTGCCATTTGGACACCAGCCAAATGCCTATAGGACAAACATAGAGACAAGGATGTTAATAGTAAATACTGACTATTTGGCTTGTTTGTCTATTTCCCTTTCACTTGAACATAAAGAACAATATAAAGATTTCTTAAAGAAAGGGAAAACTCACGGAGAAGCGCTGGCAAACGTCAGTCTGTCCCTCAACAGAGCCCACAGCTGGACACACTCTGTAGTCCACGTAGCTGGACATCTGACCGGCGTACTGACAGAACTCTAGCTGAACGTGAGGCTCAGTTCCTCCAGGGGTGCCCCTGCGACTGCTATCCAGCTTACTGGAGGGAAGAGGAGGCAATGAGGGAACAGGCACTTCACAACATCAGCACTTCATTTTACAACACTGCTTCAAGCACAATAATGCTCCACAAGGTCTCCTGCTTTAGACAATAATGGACACATCAGAGGAATAGTCCAGATAACTGAGTGTTTTTCATTTCTATTACAGTTAAATCTGAACTGCACCTTATTATTTACTGTACAGTACATTACACAAATACACACCATTTCTTATAGGCATACTCCAGATATGAGGCAGTGAGTCGGAGCTCGAACTCAGCGACATATTTGGTGTCGTAGATGCCGGCAGGAAACATCTCAGACAGGTCGGCTGTGAAGGTGGTCAAGCGGTCGGGCAGATGTGCATAAAAACTCTGGGGGAGAGAGACATTGTTGCAATGCAATATATTTCATATAAAATTAAGCAGCAAATGATGGAGAAGCTGGAACCAGAGAATCCTTGGCATTTTAGCTTAATTAGATTACATCAAAATTGAATATCAAGCGTTTCAGGCTATCCTCCAATCATAATCGACTTTGCAGCTCGAATACCAAAATGGAAATAGCAACTTAAGATAAGGTTATTTTTCCCTCATTGAAAAAGCCATTGAATTATGTATTTGCTTTCTGCAAAGAAAATAAGTACAATTATTATGAGAAAGAGGAAAAGAACAAAAGTGAACAGCCAACATCATAAGTTGATGCTACCTGGTAAAGGAAGGCCATGTCGATGAGGCCGTTGTGGAGCACCAGGGGCTTCTTGGCACGCAGCAGTTCAGTGAATAACGCTCGGATGTGGACCCCCCGATCATCTGATTCTGCCTAACAAGTTAGAGAGAGAAATGACAGATAGAAATTTAAAACATCAAAGGAATATGGTTTATCTTTTGCAGTGTCATGTTCTATGTTAAATTGTATATATACAGTATACATCTATGTTTTACTTATGTCTACTTACATGGGGCCCTATAGGATTCCCTGTTTTATTAGATACAGTGGACCAAAAAAGTATTTAGTCAGCCACCAATTGTGCAAGTTCTCCCACTTAAAAAGATGAGAGGCCTGTAATTTTCATCCTAGGTATACCTCAACTATGAGAGACAAAATGAGAAAAAAAAAATCCAGAAAATCACATTGTCTGATTTTTAAAGACTTTATTTGCAAATTATGGTGGAAAATAAGTATTTGGTCAATAACAAAAGTTAATCTCAATACTTTGTTATATACCCTTTGTTGACAATGACAGAGGTCAAATGTTTTCTGTAAGTCTTCACAAGGTTTTCACACACTGTTGCTGGTATGCATGCCTCTGACTAGCCCGTACGATAGCACTCTGAAAACTCACTGTTGGGAGAAGGTAGTCGTTCCCGTTAACTCTACTTTGCACCGACCGCAGAAAGTCGTACTGTTACTAGGGTTTGTGTGGGTGGCGGGTCCGTGGTTCCTCACCGAAACATCTTTCGTTTTTTAAGTTCCAGGACCTCACCGGATCGGTCAGAGGTCTGATGGGGTATCTTTAGTAAACCTCCCTCAACTTTCAGGCCAACGGGTCGCTGTCGGGGTTTTGTAGTGACGAGGATCTCCTCTAGACGTACCTCC